GACGCCTCCGTTGAGAACAACAGCCTGTTGTTTTGAATTCCGATTCAGACAGTCAGTCTCAACCACAACAATGCTGTAGGCGGGGCAGGTGGACGTACATGAATTAGTCCATTGACTCTGCTTACAACACAATATAATACACGGGAATATGAAATACGCCCTGTTATATGAAAGCACAGAATGAGATAGCATCTAAAGTATTCTCATTTTATGTGCAAGGACGCTTTAATGTCAACATATTTCGCTGAATAAAGTTTTTTAAGCTGGAAATGGATATTGACATTCAAAAGGCAATATCTGAAATAGTTTTGTCCCGAGAAGCAGTTTCAAAGGGACATTGCACAGCTAAAAAAAATATTTTTTTAAATCTCTCAACCGGAGTTATGGTATTCGTTTCGGCTTCGTATGCGTAGGACCGCTCGTACTCGCACGGATATACGTACATCTCCTACACGTCGCACAAATCGGGTAATCCGGAAGCGCTCGTTAAATCATCATCATCATCATCATCATCATCATCATCATCATCACCACCATCGTCGTCGTCGTCGTCACCATCATCGTTATATGATGATGATGATCATCATCGCCATATCATCATCATCACCATCACCATCAATTATCGTGCGCGCATACATTAAGGTTTCCCATTTACGTGCACGTAAACGCATTTGCACACGCACATACACACGCACACGCACACGCACACGCACACTCTCATATCTCATTCTCCTATGCGCATTCAGCGTACACGTATACTCATCAAAACATAAAAGTACACACAGACACATACGCCTACACATAGATTGAGAGAGAGAGCGAATAGCACTCATCATTGGATCGGGATATCTGATTCCGAACGGCTACTGATGCAAAAGAAACCAAATCATGTCATACAACACTTATCAATCCGCTTGAGGAATTCCCCAAGAATTTTGATTTCCACATGATAGTGTTTTCCACATGACGCGAGAGTCCTACCCGCCTCTCGCTGCGATTGTAAACTAGTCAAGGTGTCGGCTGACGGCTACCGTAGCAAACTGTATCCACGGTCACTATTGTACGGGTGACAGTCTCATTCATCACCGGTCCACATAGACGTTAATTGTATCTACCCTATGGCCACGGAGGGCGGTGACATCAAAGAAGGGTTTGAGAACCGCGTCTATCTGTCCTGGCCAGTTTTGCTCCCCCTATTGAAAAGATGTCACGCGAATCGAAAAGTCACCTGTAGCGAATGACGATGTTAAGAGACCCCTATTACTAGGCATTGGCGATACCTTTGCAAATTGGCGTTATCGCCATCATTTTGATATGGAATTACCTCATTATAAGACTTAATCTCTTTAAAGATGACATTGTCGGCGTTTCAATCAGGCAATGCATATGTATTGATAAACTGATAAACTTTTTCATTACGCCAACAAGTAACCCGTTTGTTGGTCGCTGACGTGCATGATTGATATATCAGGCGCCGTTCTGCACACATATCCCCTTTAATAACGGTGTAAACCTTTTAACCAATCCCTTATGGTTACTGTCTTTGCCTCAGACGCATCCTTGAGCTAAAGTTGACAAAAAGGCAATATCGTTAAACCAAGCATTGTAGCCAATAAACCGTTCTTGTGACTCTGTAATTGGTTCTTGATCATACAAGCCTTTTATATAAGCAATAAACCTGATGATGTTATTAAATACGTCCCTCAAGCTGATCTACCGGACCCCCTAGAGCAGTAGCTTGAATTACGCTACATCCCTTGCGTGGACAATGCATGTGTGATTGAGTAAGGTTTTATGCCGCTTTTGGGAATATAGCCATATCACGAATTGCTTAACATTGAATCGGATCCGGAGTAGTCCAGACTGTTTAAGAGTGAGTGAGTATGGTTTTACGCCGCTTTTAGCAATATTCCAGCAACATCACGGCGGGGGACACCAGAAATGGGATTCACACATTGTACCCATGTCGGGAATCGAACCCGGGTCTTCAGCGTGACGAGCGAACGCTTTAACCACTAGGCTACCCGACCGCCTAGACTGTTTAAGAAACCGGGTTGCAAACTATACTCATGTCTCCAAGTGGAACAACACGCGGGACAGGTTGGTATGAGTGAGCGAGTATGGTTTTACGCCGCTTTTAGCAATATTCCAGTAATATCAGGGCGGGGGACACCAGAAATGGGCTTCACACATTGTACCCATGTCGGGAATCGAACCCGGGTCTTCGGCGTGACGAGCGAACGCTTTAACCACTAGGATACCCGACCGCCCCGACAAGTTGGTATGATAAGTGTTCGAATAAAAAGGGTGGGGCGTACATCGCCAGCATACTCATAATCCGGCGAACCTGGATTCGAACTCGATATCAGGTTTCTGGCGCGCCCAAGGGACACAACTCTACACAGCAAATTGCGGCGCCCTAGACGACTGGCCACCCCTGACTCTGTGGTAGTCAATCTTTTACTGATGCCTTAAAATGCGAGAATCACAAAATGGCATGTCCAGTCGGTTTCCATTTTCCTCCTGGCTGACATCGCTTTATCCAAACTTTCCTTCTCACTCCGGCCTTTGCGCTTGGAAATTTCATGGAATGACAGTTGATACTTTTTTTGATGAATTAGTATACCCCCACGCCCACACAATACCCAGATTTCTGTCTTAATACGCCGAGAATGACGGAAAATCACTGTCATGTAGATTACTGCACTGTAAACGAAACAAAATGGCGGACGTCTCTCCACTATGACGTCACAGCTACAGGTCGGCCTCTAGCCGGGATTTCAATTTGCATACCGCTGGTTGTGGGATCACCTGTTTTTGCACTACGGTGTCAAAATATGTTAACAGACCAAATTCATTACTGAAAATTGTGTTTGAAGTCTTGACAAACCGTAATAACGGGGTTCACCATGACATCATACCAGAAAGTTCTGAATGAAGGCATAAATAAAAACTAAAAAATCAGACATTAACCATGTTTTGCATCCGTCAAAAATATTTATATTTTGATCAAGTCGGTTTAATAACCAAACAGGAAGAAGTAAATTTCTATTTTCAAAGGAACTATTTCTCTAGGCAACAAAGAGCTTGTTGTCCTCTGTATATCATCCGCCGACAGTGGAACACAATCCGTGCATACCTGTGCATATTTCACACAAAGAAGGGGAAACATTTATATATGTCAGATTTAACATCTTGATTAAATACTTCTACAGGAAACACGTCATGTAAAAATAATCATCGTGTAATAAATGGATGGAAGTTCTCTGCAGTCATTAAAGTCAACATCCATCCTCCGCGCGATCACTCAGTCGTCAACGTTCGTACCACACCGTGACATGCCGGATGATACCTTCGTGGCTTTTCCCTTCACTCCGAGGGATTCCGAATGTCTTTCCGCTACTCCGGGCTTAATACTGGACCATTTGTGATTAGTCGATAATGGGTATTGAGGTTGGATGAACCGGAAGCTGCGACCGCCTTGATGATTCCTTATATGTCGATTCGTTGAAAGTGATTTATGTGATTATAAACGAGTCCGAAAGCAACACAATTCATTAATAATCACGACAATAACACGTTGTTTGTTTTTCCTAAATTTTCTCCACCCTCCCCAACGGGCCATCAATCTGAAGCTAGACGTCACACCCATCCACCCTCCTCCTCAATCCACCCTACCCTACCGGGCCATCCCTCTGAAGCTCAACCTCACACCCATCCACCTTCCTCCTCAATCCACCCTACCCCGCCGGGCCATCCCTATGAAGCTCAACCTCACACCCATCCACCCTCCTCCTCAATCCATCCTACCCCGCCGGGCCATCCCTATGAAGCTAGACCTCACACCCATCCACCCTTCTCCTCAATCCACCCTACCCCGCCGGGCCATCCCTCTGAAGCTAGACCTCATACCCATCCACCCCCTCCTCAATCCATCCTACCCCGCCGGGCCATCCCTATGAAGCTAGACCTCATACCCATCCACCCTTCTCCTCAATCCACCCTACCCCGCCGGGCCATCCCTCTGAAGCTAGACCTCACACCCATCCACCCTTCTCCTCAATCCACCCTACCCCGCCGGGCCATCCCTCTGAAGCTAGACCTCACACCCATCCACCCTCCTCCTCAATCCACCCTACCCCGCCGGGCCATCCCTCTGAAGCTAGACCTCACACCCATCCACCCTCCTCCTCAATCCACCCTACCCCGCCGGGCCATCCCTCTGAAGCTAGACCTCACACCCATCCACCCTCCTCCTCAATCCACCCTACCCCGCCGGGCCATCCCTCTGAAGCTCAACCTCACACCCATCCACCCTCCTCCTCAATCCACCCTACCCCACCGGGCCATCCCTCTGAAGCTAGACCTCACTGCCATCAACCCTCCTCCTCAATCCACCCTACCCGCCGGGCCATCCCTCTGAAGCTAGACCTCACACCCATCCACCCTCCTCCTCAATCCACCCTACCCGCCGGGCCATCCCTCTGAAGCTGAACCTCACACCCATCCACCCTCCTCCTCAATCCACCCTACCCCACCGGGCCATCCCTCTGAAGCTCAACCTCACACCCATCCACCCTCCTCCTCAATCCACCCTACCCCACCGGGCCATCCCTCTGAAGCTAGACCTCACTGCCATCAACCCTCCTCCTCAATCCACCCTACCCGCCGGGCCATCCCTCTGAAGCTAGACCTCACACCCATCCACCCTCCTCCTCAATCCACCCTACCCGCCGGGCCATCCCTCTGAAGCTGAACCTCACACCCATCCACCCGACCCCCCTCTTCCCCGTCAAGCCGATTCCGCCAAAGTGATCCCTGTGAAACCCATCCCGTATGTCGGCCGAGCCACCGCGAGATGTCCCTGCATAGCTTGAGATGATTGCCCGTCAGTTATGTAATACAGAGGATAACGAGGGGCATGCTGTGAGTATTACAACAAAAATGTAGAGGGTTGACTTTCCATTTTTTCCCCACTGTTCCTCTGTAATTTACATTTCATGGAGGCATCAGAGGCGTATGTGTCCTGCGCTGGGGGGGATAATAGACCCGCGTCCTCGACTCAGCCTGTCGCGGACCTCAAGGCTCGCCCTGTCGTCAACCGAGACAGTGTTACCATGAACCGATTGAAGTAGGTTTCTTCGCCACTTTACATTTACGAGCTGAAATCGACTCATGTTGAAAATCATTAGGGAACATTTCAAAAGTTGTGATTATTTCCTTTGCACCGTTTTCTCGGTGGGTTCCACAAAAGTTACTTTCGCCTTCCTTTCCGCATTATGCTGCTCAAATCATCTTTACATCATCTCACTCACTTACTCACTCACTCACTCACTCACTCACTCTTGTCCGCGGAAGAAGAATATGTACCTTCTTCCTACAACTAATGCCTTGGGTACTCTAACACTGGATTCCCTTACTACAACACCGGGTTCCCTTACTACAACACTGGATTCCCTTACTACAATACCGGGTTCCCTTACTACAACACTGGGTTCCCTTACTACAACACTGGGTTCCCTTACTACAACACTGGGTTCCCTTACTTCAACACTGGGTTCCCTTACTACAACACTGGGTTCCCTTACTTCAACACTGGGTTCCCTTACTACAACACTGGGTTCCCTTACTTCAACACTGGGTTCCCTTACTACAACACCGGGTTCCCTTACTAAAATACTGGGTTCCCTTACTAGAACACTGGGTTCCCTTACTACAACACTGGGTTCCCTTACTACAACACCGGGTTCCCTTACTTCAACACTGGGTTCCCTTACTACAACACTGGGTTCCCTTACTTCAACACTGGGTTCCCTTACAACAACACTGGGTTCCCTTACTACAACACCGGGTTCCCTTACTACAACACCGGGTTCCCTTACTAAAATACTGGGTTCCCTTACTTCAACACTGGGTTCCCTTACTACAACACTGGGTTCCCTTACTTCAACACTGGGTTCCCTTACTACAACACTGGGTTCCCTTACTACAACACCGGGTACCCTTACTACAACACTGGGTTCCCTTACTACAACACCGGGTTCCCTTACTACAACACTGGGTTCCCTTACTACAACACTGGGTTCCCTTACTACAACTCCAGGTTCCCTTACTACAACACTGGGTTCCCTTACTACAACTCCAGGTTCCCTTACTACAACACTGGGTTCCCTTACAACAACACTGGGTTCCCTTACTTCAACACTGGGTTCCCTTACTACAACACTGGGTTCCCTTACTACAACACTGGGTTCCCTTACTACAACACTGGGTTCCCTTACTACAACACCGGGTTCCCTTACTACAACTCCAGGTTCCCTTACTACAACTCCAGGTTCCCTTACTACAACTCCAGGTTCCCTTACTACAACACTGGGTTCCCTTACTACAACACTGGGTTCCCTTACTAAAACACTGGGTTCCCTTACTTCAACACTGGGTTCCCTTACTACAACACCGGGTACCCTTACTACAACACTGGGTTCCCTTACTACAACACCGGGTACCCTTACTACAACACTGGGTTCCCTTACTACAACACTGGGTTCCCTTACTACAACACTGGGTTCCCTTACAACAACACTGGGTTCCCTTACTACAACACCGGGTTCCCTTACTACAACACTGGGTTCCCTTACTACAACACTGGGTTCCCTTACTACAACACTGGGTTCCCTTACTACAACTCCAGGTTCCCTTACTACAACACTGGGTTCCCTTACTACAACTCCAGGTTCCCTTACTACAACACTGGGTTCCCTGACTACAACACTGGGTTCCCTTACTACAACACTGGGTTCCCTTACTTCAACACTGGGTTCCCTTACTACAACACTGGGTTCCCATACTACAACACTGGGTTCCCTTACTACAACTCCAGGTTCCCTTACTACAACACTGGGTTCCCTTACTACAACTCCAGGTTCCCTTACTACAACACTGGGTTCCCTTACAACAACACTGGGTTCCCTTACTTCAACACTGGGTTCCCTTACTACAACACTGGGTTCCCTTACTACAACACTGGGTTCCCTTACTACAACACTGGGTTCCCTTACAACAACACTGGGTTCCCTTACTACAACACCGGGTTCCCTTACTACAACACTGGGTTCCCTTACTACAACACTGGGTTCCCTTACTACAACACTGGGTTCCCTTACTACAACACTGGGTTCCCTTACTACAACTCCAGGTTCCCTTACTACAACACTGGGTTCCCTTACTACAACTCCAGGTTCCCTTACTACAACACTGGGTTCCCTTACTACAACACTGGGTTCCCTTACTACAACACTGGGTTCCCTTACTTCAACACTGGGTTCCCTTACTACAACACTGGGTTCCCATACTACAACACTGGGTTCCCTTACTACAACACTGGGTTCCCTTACTACAACACTGGGTTCCCTTACTACAACACCGGGTTCCCTTACAACAACACTGGGTTCCCTTACTACAACACTGGGTTCCCTTACTACAACACCGGGTTCCCTTACAACAACACTGGGTTCCCTTACTACAACACTGGGTTCCCTTACTACAACTCCAGGTTCCCTTACTACAACACCGGGTTCCCTTACTACAACTCCAGGTTCCCTTACTACAACACCGGGTTCCCTTACTACAACACTGGGTTCCCTTACTACAACACTGGGTTCCCTTACTACAACACTGGGTTCCCTTATTACAGTAGGGGTACCCTTCCTACAACACCGGGTTCCCTTACTACAACACTGGGTTCCCTTACTACAGTAGGGGTTCCCTTGCTACAACACCGGGTACCCTTACTACAGTAGGGGTTCCCTTACTACAACCCTGGGTGCCCTTATTAAAGTAGGGGTTCCCTTACTACAACACCAGGTACCCTTATTACAGTAGGGGTTCCCTTCCTACAGCACCCAGTACCTTTATTACAGTTTGGGTACCCTAACTACAAAAACGGGTACCCTTATTTCAGTAGGGGTTCCCTTGCTACAACACCGGGTACCCTTATTACAGTAGGGGTTCCCTAACTATAACACCGGGTACCCTTATTACAGTAGGGGTTCCCTTACTACAACACCGAGTACCCTTCTGTTGTACTTTCATAACATTCCAAATAATAGCTCTTCTTTGATACGTGTCGAAGTTTCTGACCAGAAACTAAATATTTTCTGACTTGCTGGTTTTCTAAGCTGGCCATCCATTTAAGAAGAACTGTTAAAAGAGTCATCTTTAATTCAAAACTATTAATATTTGTTGAGTTTAACAGCCGCGAACCACAACGTGAGGGTGGGACGTCTGGTAGACAGCGAGGAGGATAACAAACCCTCTTAACTACAAAGTCGACTTTTTCAAATTGTTCAAAATTCGTTAAAAAAAAATTATTTACTCTTTTGAAGTTAAACCCTTATGGTCACGTCACGATATTGTCGTTGCAGTTGATTCTGAGTCAGGATTTCCCTGGTCATTCTGAACGTGCATTTTGTGCAAGTAAAACTGACACAACCGTAGGTCATTATGCAAACATTGAAATTATATATCAAGCATAACAAGGTTTAAGTTGGAGAAATCACTCGGATGTGTTGATTCTCATGATTTCTCCATTACGGAAATTTGGTTTCAGAGGTAAAACGTGAATATGAAGGGTTGAGAATCACTCAGACTAAACAAATTATATCAAATTCTTACTCGTCATCATCCTTTGAGGCACTGAAGGTGCAAGTCTGCAAATTTGTTAAATGAAATTTATTTTTTTCTAGCCCTGATAGTTTGACAACACAAAATGATCTGACTGTCGTAAAAAGTTAAAAAACACCAAATAAAAATAAACGACAAACATACTCCCAAACATTTACATACATTAACAGTTATTAAGTAATAACTATCATTTCACATATAAATGTTTGTATAAATTATATCCAACATGGGTCGCAACTTCACAAGACAATATCGCTGTCTGAGTAACGAAACGAACGATTATAATGTAATATGCAAAGATGAAAATAACTTCTGCGTAGATACGAGTATCATTTTCTACGTAGACGATTGTTTTTTTTAAGAATGTGGCACTAATACGTTTCCATAACCAGGTAACTGGAACATCATTATAATTTAAGAAATAGTCCTGTTCTTTCCGCATTCCAGTCTATCCCATGTCCACACTCCTGTGCGCATCCTCATACATCATACATCATACATCATACATCTGTGTGCGTCATACATCTGATAAGGAGGCTTGTTTCAAACCAGATGATGCACGCCCTACTGCACAGATTTTGGCCCTTGGTTGTGCCAGGATACGCTGATTGTGGCATTGATTTGCCTTGATTGTGACTCTTGGTTTCTCAGCATATACCCTGCAGGTATCACCAAAATAATCACGAATAATCTGACACACCCTGACAAAACTGAAATACATTTCAAAGTTTAAACCCATGGATTTGACACACCCAGGTCAGATTGAAATAAACTTTGGAAAAGAGTTGGTCCTTTTGAAGTACTTTTATGTATGGATTCCTAGAAGGGACATTGTCGCGTTGTCGCGGATTTTAACTCCTGTTTTAACGATTTGTACACACATTTTTGATGGGGTGACAATGCGACAACGCGACTATTTTGACATTGAAAAATGTAGCGTTAACGCATTATCGTCCTTTGGTAAAATTAGAAAGATTATTAAAAGCCCGACAATCCAACAACACGACAGTGCGACAAAATGTCGCGTTGTCGCATTGTCGTGCTTTGGGTGATTTTGACACTTTTTGCTTGTTTTTGAAAGCGTGAAAACGCGACAACGCGATAATGTCCCTTCTAGGATTCCATACTTATGCCCCTTTTTCTGCAGTTAATCTCCAGGTGATTTTTCATCCCGTGTCTGAATAGCAAGTGCCCATCCCAGACTATAGATCCAAGATGTGCACACCATGAACATGCCTAACTCCAGACTGTCTACCCCGCCTCTGGGCGTCCATGGCATCTAACTGTTAAAGTCAGACGCCACAAAAACAAAAAGGTCAAATTTCTGCACTCCATTAAAGAGCCTATTGAATTCAGATTCAAAACAGTTCATTACAATAAGAATTAATCGCATATTCCGGCTTCGCCCGAGGACAGTACTGGGCACATGCTTTAAGTCCAATGTTTGTGAGGTGAAGGCAGGCAATTTGTTCGGATGTGTACGATGTTTTTTTTTCAAAAGACCCAATAATCCCAAGCGTCATCCCACTGTGAGGGGTTTTATCGTTTTTTATAACTTTAGAAAACTATGTTTTTGTCATAAAACCAGAAAAGCAATATTTAATTATTATCCTGAAACAGGATTCAAGAGACGACAGAAGCAATGAAAGCGACTTACAGCGTCAACATTCGCCTTGTCTTGCCAAAGGCTAAATGTTTTAAAGAATTTCTGAAAAAGCAGGATGTTTTTTTCTGTTTAAAGCAGACGCGCCGCTGTATATATACTTAACTACAATATCGTCTACCATTATGTATTCTATATGTACTTAACTACAATATTGTCTAGCCTGATGTACACAATATTTACTTAACTACAATATTGTCTAACCTGATGTATACAATATTTACTTAACTACAATATTGTCTAACCTGATGTATACAATATTTACTTAACTACAATATTGTCTAGCCTGATGTACACAATATTTACTTAACTACAATATTGTCTATCCTGATGTACACAATATTTACTTAACTACAATATTGTCTAACCTGATGTATACAATATTTACTTAACTACAATATTGTCTAACCTGATGTATATAATATTTACTTAACTACAGTGTTGTCTAACCTGATGTATACAATATTTACTTAACTACAATATTGTCTAACCTGATGTATACAATAATTACTTAACTACAGTATTGTCTAGCCTGATGTATACTATATGTACTTAACTACAGTGTCGTCAAACCTGATGTATATAATATTTACTTAACTACAGTGTTGTCTAGCCTGATGTATATAATATTTACTTAACTACAGTGTTGTCTAACCTGATGTATACAATATTTACTTAACTACAGTGTCGTCTAACCTGATGTATACAATATTTACTTAACTACAGTATTGTCTAGCTGATGTATACAATATTTACTTAACTACAGTATTGTCTAGCCTGATGTATACAATATTTACTTAACTACAGTATTGTCTAGCTGATGTATACAATATTTACTTAACTACAGTATTGTCTAACCTGATGTATACAATATTTACTTAACTACAGTATTGTCTAACCTGATGTATACAATATTTACTTAACTACAGTATTGTCTAACCTGATGTATACAATATTTACTTAACTACAGTATTGTCTAGCCTGATGTATACAATATTTACTTAACTACAGTGTCGTCTAACCTAATGTATACAATATTTACTTAACTACAGTATTGTCTAGCCTGATGTATGCAATATTTACTTAACTACAGTGTTGTCTAACCTAATGTATACAATTATTACTTAACTACAATATTGTCTAACCTGGTGTAAATAATATTATGGTGAATATAATATATACCTGTATGTAATGCATGTGGCGTATATTTGGTTTATTTGTTGGTTGTTTAAATCCGCACTCAGCAATATTCCAGGTATAAGACGACGATTGGTAAATAATCGAGTCTGGACCAGACTATCCAGTGACTGATATCATCAGCATCGATCCCCCAATTGGGGTACGATGTCATGCATCAACCAAGTCAACCAGCTTGAGCACCAGATCCCGTTAGTCGCCTCTTACGACAAGTAAGCCATTTACAGCAAGCATGGGTTGATGACGACCTATTCCACCCCGGATCTTCACGGGTCATGTGCGGTATGTGTGTAACAGTGTATGAATTTATCTCTCTGACTGTATGCTTGTAACGTATGAATGTATTAGTGTATGTATGTGGTGTATGTGTGTATCAGTGTATGTATGTAATGTATGTGTGTATCAGTGTATGTATGTGGTGTATGTGTGTATCAGTGTATGTATGTGGTGTATGTGTGTATCAGTGTATGTATGTGGTGTATGTGTGTATCAGTGTATGTATGTGGTGTATGTGTGTATCAGTGTATGTATGTAATGTATGTGTGTATCAGTGTATGTATGTGGTGTATGTGTGTATCAGTGTATGTATGTGGTGTATGTGTGTATCAGTGTATGTATGTGGTGTATGTGTGTATCAGTGTATGTATGTGGTGTATGTGTGTATCAGTGTATGTATGTGGTGTATGTGTGTATCAGTGTATGTATGTAATGTATGAATATATCAGTGTATGTATGTGGTGTATGTGTGTATCAGTGTATGTATGTGGTGTATGTGTGTATCAGTGTATGTATGTAATGTATTTGTGTATCAGTGTATGAATGTGGTGTATGTGTGTATCAGTGTATGTGTGTAATGTATGAATATATCAGTGTATGTATGTGGTGTATGTGTGTATCAGTGTATGTATGTGGTGTATGTGTGTATCAGTGTATGTATGTGGTGTATGTGTGTATCAGTGTATGTATGTGGTGTATGTGTGTATCAGTGTATGTATGTAATGTATGAATATATCAGTGTATGTATGTGGTGTATGTGTGTATCAGTGTATGTATGTGGTGTATGTATGTATCAGTGTATGTATGTAATGTATGAATATATCAGTGTATGTATGTGGTGTATGTGTGTATCAGTGTATGTATGTGGTGTATGTGTGTATCAGTGTATGTATGTGGTGTATGTGTGTATCAGTGTATGTATGTGGTGTATGTGTGTATCAGTGTATGTATGTGGTGTATGTATGTATCAGTGTATGAATGTGGTGTATGTGTGTATCAGTGTATGTATGTAATGTATGAATATATCAGTGTATGTATGTGGTGTATGTGTGTATCAGTGTATGTATGTAATGTATGAATATATCAGTGTATGTATGTGGTGTATGTGTGTATCAGTGTATGTATGTAATGTATGAATATATCAGTGTATGTATGTGGTGTATGTGTGTATCAGTGTATGTATGTGGTGTATGTATGTATCAGTGTATGAATGTGGTGTATGTGTGTATCAGTGTATGTGTGTAATGTATGAATATATCAGTGTATGTATGTGGTGTATGTGTGTATCAGTGTATGTATGTGGTGTATGTGTGTATCAGTGTATGTATGTGGTGTATGTATGTATCAGTGTATGTATGTAATGTATGAATATATCAGTGTATGTATGTGGTGTATGTGTGTATCAGTGTATGTATGTGGTGTATGTATGTATCAGTGTATGAATGTGGTGTATGTGTGTATCAGTGTATGTGTGTAATGTATGAATATATCAGTGTATGTATGTGGTGTATGTGTGTATCAGTGTATGTATGTGGTGTATGTGTGTATCAGTGTATGTATGTGGTGTATGTGTGTATCAGTGTATGTATGTAATGTATGTGTGTATCAGTGTATGTATGTGGTGTATGTGTGTATCAGTG